AGAACTCGATCTGAACAATTCTCAACAGAACTCACTGTAAATCTCTTCTTATCAACCTCAATTTCAGTCATTTTGTTAACACCAATCTGGTTCGCAAAACTTCCTCGTATTAAAACATCTTTGATCAGCCAGTTTGTTTCGAATGGAGTACCTGAAATAATAGCTGCAGTTTTTATTTTGTTGCTTTTGAGAGAAAGATGTATATTATTGCTGTTTTTAATGTCAAAATTAAAATGCACATGTCCGTCACAATTTTGAAGATCTACTTCATTAATTTCTGGTATATTAGATTGAATACTTGCCTTAATTGGATTCCAAGACTTGTGAGTAAGAATACTAACTTCTTTTTGAACCTCTAATGGAATTATTATATGATTACAAACATTGTATTCACGCTCAGGAAAAATTTCAGCACAAGATTTACCATACCTTTTTTCAAAATGTTTAGGAAAGTACATATTTAAGCTCTTAGTACAAAGCATAATAAAATTATTACTGTTATCTATAAAACGAAGATAGTATTCATCTCCTCCATACTGTATCTTCTGTAATTTGAGAGTAGAAAAATCAATATTATTATTTACACATAATTTGCTCGTATCTATTTGAAAAGCAAGTGCAAGTGTTTTAGTTGTATTATCAATTTCTTTTTTTTCTTTCATTCCGGATTGTAAACTGTAGTATTTACTACTCTCATATTTTTCTTCTTCTACTATTACATCTTGACCTTGATTACTTATATATTCAAAATCATTGTCTCCCCCTTTTTCCTTTGCTATACCTTGAACGTTATCACTTTCAATAAGCTCATGAGTATCAAAAAATTCTTCTTGTTCTTCTAAAGCGTCGTACCATACTTCCTGTTCCTCACTATTGTGAGTTTGGCCTAGCGATTTTGGGTCAAAAGCCTCTTCTTCTAAAACATCTTGAACTTCTTCCATTCCCGGTTTTTCATCTAGCAAAAATATTTTCCTAAAAAAACTTTTTATGCTTGATATTAGATCAATGTATAAGCCTTTAACCTTGTTTGGCAACTTATAATACGAATATTCCCTCTTTTTCATATATTACCTATTGATACTTATAAATAGTACAGAGAAAATATTAAAATATCAAGAATACAACCTTTATTGTGTCCTTCTTTAACTTATTTTTATTAGATCCCCTGCGAAACAACAGGAAGTGAGTTGCTAATAAAATCCTGCCCAACCCGAAAGCTGTTAAAACTCGTGCCTCATATTCACAATACCTGCAATAATGTTGTATTTTCTCTGAAAAATGTTCCATTCGGTAGTTTCTCCATTTTTTTATTTAATTAGGGTGAAACTACCGCTTTTTCCTTCTTTCTTCTACTTTTTTTTCTCACAGAATAATTTTGTTCACAGAGCC